TTTAACTTCTACAGAGCCAGGTTTATATTTCCTGCAGAAATGATGGTAAGCTGCTTTTGGTGCCAGAATTAATTTTAAAAGCATCATGGCCCTCTGGTGTTGCCTGAGATTTGGGGTACCACCAATATCGTCAGTGGAGCCAGATGGTCATTGCCACTGTTTTGAGATGTTTCCCCTTCAGGTGAAGGGAAAATTTTTTTTTGTTTTCCTTAAATCTCAGTGGTGGGAATTTCATTCACAAGTTTTTTCCCACGAATCAAAAAAACCTATCACTCCGAAGGCAGTGCTTAATAAACACCCAGCTCTTTTCCCACTGCATGATTTTGAGACTTCTCTGGGGGATAACTGGCAGCCCCATGGAGAGGGAAAGATACTTGCTGGCTCTTCTGACCCATTCCACTTAAGCATCACATCCCCTGAGCTTTACATTCTGCCACTACTCCATTGCCAAAGTAAACCTCAGGGAACAGGTACTTTTCTCCCCTGCACCCATTTGTATCTCTCCAAACTTCCTTCCTAAACATAGTGTTTATTCTGTTCCACCCAACCTGCCACTTTGGTTCATAAGAAGCACCTATAATAAAATATAATAAAATAATTCCTTTAGGTCCACTCTTAATGAGTATGCTCACACATACGGTTGCTTCTTCTTTGGCATGCATTGGGACATCTTTTTTACATTTTAAAATCTTTTTTAATGTTGGGGTGGAGGATGTGCCTTGGATGGTGCCTGGCTGTCTGTACATTGTGTATGTGTGCCTCGATTTTCTTGTTTGTGGGTTTTTCTTTAGTGGCTGCTCATGTGGATAATTCTTGCTAGATAAAATCAGGTGTTTGGGTATTGTGGCTAGTTCATTTTGCCTTATGGAAAATTATAGTAGTAATTAAGGGCTAGGTTTTCATCCAAGCTTATGCAAATCTTTCTCCAGTGACTGCAGTGTATTAGAAACCAAATAATTACTTACTGAAGGTTTAATCCTGTCAGCTACAACCACCTGATCCTGGTTCAGGAAAAATAGTTCAGCATATAATTAACGTAGATTCTTGGAAGTACTCTCTGTTAGTTGTAGTTTCTTAATTAGATGTTTTAGGGGTGTGGAGCCACTAGGTAGGAAGCCAGTCCAGCTTGCTGGGTTTATGCTCTCTGGTAAGGGATGCAGCCAGAGGATGCTGAACCCTCTGCATGCCCTGCCTTGCACTCCAGCAAAGCAACTGGATGCTGAACAGGGACTCTCTCCTTCAGATTTGAGATTTTTTGGTTCTTTTTGTAGGTAGGCTTCTTTTTTGGAAAGCATCTACAGGGGCATTAGGGTGGGAATTGCAGAAGTGACTTGTATCCTGCTCATTTAGCATCAATATCAAAAATTTCCACCTCTGGGCAAAAGGAGCTGGAGTAGGCCCATTGCTTGCATCTCAACTCTGGGAAGTCCCAGCTGGGCATCTTCTTCTAGACACCTGACGGCAGATCCTCCCCAAGTGAGCTTGCAAGACGTAGGCAAAGCAGATGAAAAGATGTTACCACGGCACAGGATCTCCACGTGTAGGCAGCCCCATGCCAGTCTTTACAGTGCTGCAGAGGAGCTGCAGCGGAGCCAGTTGCAGAAGAAAAGGATGCTCCTGCTACAGACACAGAGGAGATAGCTGGGGGCTTGTTGGCAGAGCACACGTGGAGACATGCTGTGGCTGGGTGGGGTGACAGCTCGGCCTTGCTGCTCGCTGGCTGCAGTGACTCAGGCACTCTGCACTCAGCTGCATGCCTGCGAGTAATTCCTGCCATCAGCAACCAACTCCATCAGATAATCTTAGTGTGCATCATACGTGGCTGCATACCTGTTGCTGCCTTAAGTTTCCGCAGCTTTTTTGAGTGGTCTGTCTTTAGGGCAACCATAGTAAGTGGCATTTTTTTATCCTCATTTGTTTGCAAAAGTGTAAGTCAAATCCTCATCCCTCCCTCTCCAAAGCTGATTTAGTGCCAGGGAATGATTAAAAAAAAAAGTGCATTGCCAAGTGTGATGATAACTTGGCCAAAGACTGTTGTGGCAACTGCTCAACGAATGCGGTCATTTATTCCTCATTCTTCTCATTGTGTATTTTATCTCCCTGTTGTTGTTATGGATTTGGCTGCTGCCTTTCTTTTTCCCCTTCTATTACTTGTGGGAGCAAAGGATGGAGAATGGCTTCATGTCACCAAGCCAGGACGCTGTTCCTTTGATAGCAGAGGGCTGTTAGCCTTTCATAAACGAGACCTGTGCATGCATGTGTGCACAGTGGGTCTGTGGAAGGCATTTGGCCCTTTGCCCAATTTCTCCTCTAATAAAACCTGCAGATTTTCTTTTTCACTTCCTCTAGAATAGCCCAATATAAAGTAAATTATCTGTATAGATTTATTGCTATTACCCATTTGGAGGGGAGAGAAGGAAGGAAAAAAAGATGGAAAACTGTGACCATTTTCAGATGCATTTAATAATCTGTGTTCTGTGTAGGTTATGCACAAAACCAACCTCTCCATTTAAGCCTTAACATTATCATGGCTTGTGCAAAGTTGTACTTTACATTAGCGAGTGATTGCAGCCAAGACTGCTGTAAGTTAATTAAAAACCACTGCAATAACTGGAGTGTTCCCAGCTTCTGCTTGATGTCGAGCTCTATCTGCTTGGCTCCCAGGTCAAGCTGCCAAAGGTTTCCAACGTCCCTGCTGAAACCCTGGGGACCAGAAGAGCCAGGTTCACTGCTCTGCTGCACCACTGGCATTGCTGTGGCTATGCTGATACGAAGTTGTGCACGTAACTCTTTCTTTGGAGAAGGAGGCTGGTCACATTTTTTTATCACTAATTTTGGAGAAGGAGGCTGGCTGCCTTTTTCCTTACCAATTTAAACACTCTATCACTTTCAGTGGTTTCCCACCCATTAAGGAGAATGAACACATGGAATGTGTTTCTTGTTGCAGATGCACAGACATGAATAGGACAAAGCATCTCTCTGAACACTCCTGATGCTCGCCCTTTGAAAGGGTCACTTGTTTGCTGCTTCAGACCAGGCACAGCCAGCAGCAGGGGGATCGTTAAGTGATGAGAGCAGAGCATAAATGGTCCCTATCCCGTGGAGAACAGACACCCCAATTGCCTGCTCTTTTATTTATTTTTTTTTCTGCAGTGTATTATTTCTTGAGCTTCTGCAGCTCATGGAAATTCTCTGGAAAGCAGAACCCCCTGAAGCTTTGGGAGAGTGCAAGTGCTTGTCTGGTGCCAACTTTGCTAATCACATGAGCTCTGGTCTGATAAACAGCAATTTGTTTTCCATAAGGGAGGCTTGTGACAGGTCAAACCATGTCCTTATGATACTACAGCCCTAGAAATAATTATAATAGTGACTCATAAGGAAAGGCTTTTATTTATAATGCTCCTTGGCTATGCACCATTGTAAAAAGGCTATACAAGTTACAAGGCAAATGCAGTCTGCTGCTGTTACAAAAGAAGTTCTTATTCTCTAAAAGCTAAACCAGCAAAAAGGCATGAATGATACACAAAATACTTTTTCCCTATAAAGCACACAGCGATGCCATTAGCACTAATTTTGATGAATGCATTAAGAAAAAAAAGTAGCAATATTTCCCCCCTCTTGCTCTTTTGATACTGGTGGTGTGTTGGAGGTTGCTCTTGGAAGAGGGGTGTTGATGGAAGAGCCGTGTCCACTTTGTGCAATCATTTGGTGAAACAGCTATCCCATTTCAGCATTTAGGAAAGCCTGCTGGACACATGTGGGTTTTTTTGCTTTCACTACCAAAGCTTCAGAAAGAAAATCAAAAGCCCTTATCCTGTTTTACTAGCTCTCATCCCAGGAGCCACTGATACTCCACATCCAATAACCAGGCAGTGTGCGCTGGCAGCCCAGAAGGCCAACTGTATCCTGGGCTGCATCAGGAGGAGCATGACCAGCAGGTCAAGGGAGGTGATTCTGCCCCTCTACTCTGCTCTGGTGAAACCTGGAGCACTGCATCCAGCTCTGGAGCCCTCAGCACAAGAAGGACATGGAAGTGTTGGAGCGGGTCCAGAGGAGGGCCACAAAAATGACCCGAGGGCTGGAGCACCTCTGCTATGAGGACAGGCTGAGAGAGTGGGGCTTGTTCAGCCTGGAGAAGAGAAGGCTCCAGGGAAACCTTATTGCGGCCTTTCAGGAGGAGGGAGCCTATAGGAAAGATGGGGACAATCTTTTTAGTAGGGCCAGCTGTGACAGGACAAGGGGTAATGGCTTTAAACTAAAACAGGGTAGGTTTAGACTGGATCTAAGGAAGAAATTCTTTACAATGAGGGTAGTGAAACACTGGAACAGGTTACCCAGAGAGGTGGTGGAGGCCCCATCCCTGGACACATTCAAGACCAGGTTGGACAGGGCTCTGAGCAACCTGATCTAGTTAGCAGTGTCCCTGCTCACTGCAGGGGGGTTGGACTAGATGACCTCTAGGGGTCCCTTCCACCCCAAAACATTCTATGATTCTGTAACCACTCTTCCCTGTTGAGGTATGTTGAGGTACGCTGCGGTAAGGCTCAGCTGGTCAGAGCAGAATTTGACCCTAAGGCTGAGTCTGGCTTAATAGCTGCTCTTGCTGGCAATTAGTGCCCTGATCTTAATTTGAAGCTCCTGAGCAGCTGGAGAGGTGCTGGGAGTGAGTGGGAATGATAGTGGTACACCTGGTCCTGGGCACAGCAGGTCACTACGCTGGTGAGGAGAGGTCTGGCATCCTTTGGAGGTGCCCGGAGGCCAAGAGTGCTCTGCCAGAAGTTACATGAGGAAATCCTTGTTTTCACATGTGTAAACTGTACCCCTCGAAGCTCATGTGCAGTCTCAGAGGTAGAAGAAGTGGCAGCACCCTGGGCCAAACTTGCCCTTGCATTGCCACAAGGACTGCTGGGCTGTAGGAATGGTACTTGAGGTTCTTGTTTCAATAAACTTGTTAGCAGTAGGTGGTGTGTTTGGGAAACACAGCGGCATGGTGGTACATGATGGTAGCTGTTTCCTTGGGAAACGAGCCTTATCTGATCACACTTCATATCTGCTGGCTGCCCTTTGGCCAACCCGACTCAAGCGCAAGTGAGAGAGATAGGTCTTGGAGGTCGTGTTTCCCCCAAAACTTGAGAAATAGGCCTAAAAGTCAGGTGCTTCTAATATACTGCCTCAACCCTTAGGATACGTCAGAGTCTGTATGGGAGTTTAACTCTTTGAGTGCAGTGGGAATTCAGTGACTCTCCTCTCTGCCGAGCTGCTGTCTTTTTTGTTCGATCACTTAACCTAATAGCTTTGGGTACCCCGAAATCCTGAGTGTGAGCTTTTCTTCCTAAACTTGATTTCTTTTTTTTATTTTTTTTTTTAATCTTCCAAGGATGTGGTAACTTTTGTTTTGTTTTCCCAGGTGCTCAGATAAGCTGTTTTGCACCCAGCTCCTTCTCCTGGAGACAAGCTGCTTACGTGGACTCCTACTGCTGGGCAGCTGTGCAGCAGAAGCAACCATCCCAGAACAACTTAGAAAACATTCCCCTGTGGCTGCATAAAGTATGTACAGCTCTCCTGGAAAAATTGTCCCCATGTAGAAGCCTGCCTTTGCCTCACTTTTCTTGCTCCTCTTCTCTGCTATAGTCCTTGGCATTGACTTAACTCTCTATTTTTAGAATGTTTTCTTTCCCTTACTTCCAAAGTGGGTAGTACCAGAGAAGGTATTTTCTGCTTTTAAATAAAGGGTCTGTCGTGCTATAATAGCAAATATCACCAGTTAATCTGACACTAGAGTAATGTTAATGTTGCTGTGTTGCCCTGGAGCTAAATGCCTCACCTGGCTTTACCCAGGAACTATTTTAAAACCAGGATACAAGACACAACAACTACCCTAATGCTTGTATCAGAAGCTTACTTTAGGAAAATAGGATAGTAAAACCATTTTGTATTTGTATTGTATTACACTTGGCCAATTTTTCATGGAGAGGAACTCATGGCATTTTGAGAGAGATTACATTAATCACTGGTACCAACAGGTTTAACCCTGTCTTCAGTGTGCTCTGAAGTGAGCTTCCACAGGCTGTTCCCTTGCAAACCATGAGCTGGCTTTCACTGCATCGTCACACTGAATGCGCAGTAAGAGACTTATTTTATGAGTGAAGAGTGCAGTAGGTACTAAGCTACTTGAGCTGGCTCAAAGCAGTTAGATAAGCTTTTGCAGGAGTTACAAACTCTGAGTAAATGCCATGCCAATGCCCGGAGCTGACCCAACTTGAGAGGGACCGTCACCCTGCTTGGGCACTGCTGATGCCAAAGTGAGAAATGCTGCTGGAGCGCTGCAAATTTGGGGTGTTGTGTGCTGCCTTCCCCAGCCCTTTTATTACTTGCCCCAGCAAATAACCACCCTGGCCCCTGGGAGTGGAGGAGAACCCAGTGTCAGAAGGAGCTCAGGTCTGGGACATGAATATCAAAGCTAGATTTGTTGGTTTCTAGCCTGAACTCTTCCTTGCTCAGTTAGTGCTCCATTTCAGCCAGACCTTCAACAGAGGCCAGCCGAAGCTGCTAGGACATCTCACAGGCCGGGCGGCGTGGGTGGAAACTCTACCTGCAAACCTGGATACATTGCTGTCCCTTTCTCTTGAGAGAATGAGTTCTTGTTACCCGATTTCTTTATGTTGAATTTTATGCCGTAGTCACCTGCTGATAGCTGTAAGTCTCCTAGTTTGCCAGCCATGACTAATAGCTTAAGTAGTCATACTTTCATGATGCAACCCGTGTTAATTTGCTGACTGGTGCTGTCTCAGGAATTAATGCAGGGCCCTTCTTCCCACAGTTCCTTCATGGCAGCTTAATGGTATGTGATGTTCCCTTGTAAATACCCTGCAGACTGGCTGCAAGAAGTATGTCTGAACAGCATGCTTAGTCACCTACCCTTCCACTGAGCCGGGCACTAGGAGCTGCAGATGCTGTTTGGAGGCCAGTATTAATTAATATCCTTCTGCTGGTTGTTCATCAGCTTCCATGCTTAACAGGTTTCCAGGGAGGGAGTGGTGGTATTAACACCGACCTTTGGTTCTCACTGCGGTGGCAACATCTGAAGGTGTTCGGCTGTTGTTTGCACCCGGGGTCAGCAGCTGCCAGTTGGGTGGCTTGCCTTGGAGGCCAGTCGCTTCTGCAGGAGCACAGGGCTCGGGTTGTCTGCTGGTGCAGGCCGCATGCTGCAAGGTACGTTCAACCTCATGGCTCTGCAGATTTTGGCTAGATAACCATTTTTAAAACGGGCAGAGCAGAGCCTTTGTGGGTGCACAGTGATGTTCGTGGGACAAGGGAGCCTTCCTAACTCAGGTGAGAGAAGATTTGTCGTGGTTTAACCCGGCTGACAACTCAGCACCATGCAGCCGCTCGCTCACTCCCCCCTCCCTCAGTGGGATGGGGGAGAGAATCGGGAAGAAAATAAAAGGTTAGAGCCGAGGGCTGAGATAAAGACAGTTTAATAAGACAAAATAATAATAATAGTAATAATGAGAATGATAACAGAATAATAATGAGAATG